GTCCTCTGAAACAAAATTAACCAGCTTTTCCACAGAGGTTGTTGTTGGACCCAAATCCACTTTTTCTGTGAGTGAACTGAATAAAGAACCAACAGAATATTTCATCTCATTCATTTCAGGAAAAGATATGTCATCCTTGACAATGGTTAAAGGCATTTTCTGTTCTGTGCTATCGACAATATTATTGTATTTATGTGTTTTCTGAATTTTTGAAAGGGAATCAAATCTATTAATCTTATTTTCCTTCTCTGCTAAATATTCTAACACTGTTTCTACTAAACATTGAAGCTCATCCCTTGTATCAATATAAGCTTCTTTGGATTCCTCTATAGTGGAGGGGTCACCTTTTCTATGGAGCATCTGGACATATTTCCAACTAGGTTTGCATCACAACTCACCCTTTGTAATGGGAATATGGGATTTGCTACATTAGCTTCTTCAGGAAAATCCACAATATGGTAGATGTTAGATGGAAACCATGTTGGTGACAGTAAACCAGCCTGCTTATCAGAAATAGGGGAAATCAGAAATTCATCAGAAACACTACTAGTAGAATCTTCAAGAATATCTAATGGAGTAAAATTAGTGACATGCTGGTTTGAACCAGATGATGTCTCACAGCTCTTAAAACAACTGGAAAGATGATGATCATAACTGTCCAATTTAATGGTCCACAAGCCACTCTTAACCACAAATTCATTTTTGTAGGGAACCAAAACTGGGTAATTATTTTTCTTATTTTTACTGTGGCAAAGGTTATCATTTTCAGTATTTGACTATGTACATTTTGAGCTAGTTTACTTCTAGATCTATCATCATATTGACTGCTTTCACTGCCACTGAAATGACTGTATAAAGATTTCCTTTTCTTTCTTATGTCAATCATATTATATCGCTGAGGATAACTGGAGAAATCATATATCCAGCTTAAGATTAAAATTAGGGACAGTAGAAAATTCTGTTTGTTGGTTCTGATATTGTCTCTTTTTCCAATTCTTATACTTTGGTTGTTGTTGGCTGTAATATTTATCAGTTTTTGAAAGATTTCTGATTTCTTTTATCTTTGCTTCCTTCAAGTTTATATTACTATTTTCTAAAAGCTCCTGAGATATTTTCCCTTCTACTTCCTCATATATACCTTCTTGCTCTTCATAGTCAGCATAAGAGAAAATTGGGATAATCCTAATTTTATCATGTTTAGCCTGTAAACCTTGTCTGGTATTAGAGATAAAATTGGAGGATAGTAAGGTAAAGAAAGAAGGAAAAACAGGGAAAAGAAAGACACAAGTTATAAGACTTAGTGCATGTTCAATGAGAAGACAAGAATAGTAAAACTGTGCATTTTCTTTAAAAAAAAAAAAAAGGCTAAAAAATATGATAAAGAAATCTACGTGCTTAAATCAATAGTATAACAATGTAGCCAAATAATTTTTCCAATATCTGAGAAAGACCAGCTACAATAACAATTTTTAAATGATTTACTGGCTACCATTTGTCATGGTGACTTTTTAGGATCTTTTTATTTTCTAAAAAGCAAAACAAAACAAACTTGTTTAATCAATATCTAGAATGCATTTGTAGTGCCAAAGTTTAGAAACAGTAAAGTATACTGTGAAAACATATCTAGGGATTTAAACAAGCCTAAATTTGTTAGTGAATTTGGATCTGAAAAGAAGCCAAGCTACTAGTTTGCTGAAAGTTATATTTGAGGTTATGTAGCCAAGAATACAGTAAAATGTTTTATTTTTTTATAATAATAATAAAATAATTCTTGGTTTCATAGAAGTCAAACCTTACTATACTATCAAAAGCAGAAAATTATTTAAAACATCTCATTTATTGTTTGTGAAGAGTGAAGGTTACATACACTAAGAATCACTGTGTAATGAAAACCTTTCCCTCTACTGGTTATAGGAGTCCTGGTGTGGTGCTGTGGGTTAATGCGCTGCAAAGTCAGTTTGAACCACAAGGTCAATGGTACAAGTTCACCAGCTGCTCCTTGGAAACCCTATACAGGGTTGCTATGGGTAGGAACCAATTTGATGGTACTTAACAACAACAACAAACAACAACAACAACAACCTGCTGGTTATAAGAGCCGAAGCTGAGCAGCTTAAGTAAATAGCTATATTAGACAGGTGACCTTCCTAATTTGTCCAAATAGAAAAGTACACAGTCTTTTAAGGTGCTATGTTACCACTACTGCTTGGTGTATACATTTAATTCTTAGAAATACAGACTATGTACAAAAGTTCAAAGAGGAAAAGTGGGACACCATAATTGGGGGGAGGGGGGGTTGTATTTACAAACAACCCAAAATACATAAATAAAATATGTAAATATGTTATTAATAAACCAGCAAGGAGTAGGAACCAACATAAGTAGGATTCCTGGTGTGTTTCTTTTCAGAATCAGAGTTCGAGAAATAAGAATTCAATGGTATGGTGGGTATAGGAGAAAATTACATTGCAAATATTCTCAGAGTTAAAAAGTAAATCAGGATAGGAAACTGTCAAGCAAATCCATGGCTCTCTGAGACTCAGAATAAATATTCACCAGTGTAGTGATTTAATGAGGTAGGCAAAATAAATCAAATCATTCTGTGGTATGGTTAATTTTAGAAATAAAGCTTTGAGCTAAATTTGAATGATGCACTTAAAACAACAACAAAAAACCCCCTAACCTCCAACCAATAAAATAATTGCCTCAGGAAAGCATCATCAATGGATACCAAACTCACTGGGTAAAAGATTGTTGGGGAAACGGGATATTGACACAATCGCAAGTATAACTCCAAGCCAAAAAGCAAACTAAACCCACTGCCATCGAGTCAATACTGGCTCATAGCAACCCTATAATAGGTGTCCAAGGCTGTAAATCTTTACAGGAGTAAAGCTTTAGCTTCTCCTGCAGATCGGCGGGTAGGTTTTGAACTAACAACTTTGCCGTTAGCAGTTCTGTGCTTATCCTACAGTGCCACCAAGGGTATAACCCCAGAAATTATTACTTACAAAGTGGAAAATATAACTTTACATTAGACAAATATGGCATGCAACACCTTAATCAAGAGACCAAACTAAACATCATCAATTAGACTAAGTGCCATGATGTGCTTCCTGATACATTGTGAAGGAAATAATACTTATGTCATGTTTTTGCCAAAAACGTTTAACCTGACTTAAAATATGAAGAAAAAAATTAATTAAGGAACATTCTTAAAACAACTGGCCTAGACCTTTTTTAAATGTCAGTGCTGTAAAGCACTGGAATTAAAAAAAAAAAAAAATGTGAAGGAATTTTGTAATATTAAAAGAAACTAAAGAAACAGAAAATCATGATCCCTGACTGAATCATGGATCAAAAAGAAAAATATATATATGTACAAAGTATTGTTGAAACAACTAGAAAAATTTAAATATGATCTATGTATAAGGAGCCTCTGTGGTGCTATGGGCTAACCGCAAGGCCAGTAGTTCAAACACATTAGCCACTCTGAGGGGAGAAGATGAGGCTATGTGGTCCCGTAAAGATTTATAGTCTTAGAAACCCTACGTAAGGTTGCTATGCATTAGATTCGACTCAATGGCAGTGGGTTTGGGTTGATTTTAGGTATATATTACCTAATATCATTATATCATGAAATTTCTTGAGTGTGATCATAGTATTAAGGTTGTATAGAAAAAAGTCCTTTTTCTTAGGAGTTACATGCTAAAGTACTTTGCAATGAAGTAATATGCTATCTGCAACTTACTTTCAAATGGTTCAGAAAAACAAAATGTTTGTGCATACGTGTGTATATATACGTAATACAGAATGAGACAAGTAAATGTGGCAAAATGTTAACAACTATAAAGCTAGGTGACAGGAATACTGGCAGTGATTGTATTATGCTAGTCCTTCAAATTTTCTTTTAGTAAAAAAAAAACATATTTTTATGTTGATGGACAAGAGGAGACCAAAGATGTATGTATTTACTTTTATACTTCTAAATATATGACAACAGTCTCTGAAAGGATACATAAGAAATAGAAGAAAAGATGCAAGAGTATAGAAACACTGCAGATGTGGGTAGGAGGTCTTTGGTGGTGGTAGTTAGGTGCCGTGGAGTCGGTTCTGACTAATAGTGACCCTGTACAGGGTTTCCAAGGCTGTAAATCTTTACGGGAGCACAACGCCTCATCTTTCTCCCACGAAACAGCTGGTAATTTGGAACTGCTGACCTTGCGGTTCGCAGCCCAATTCGTAACCACTACACTACCAGAGCTCCAAGAAGGTCCTTACTGATATTAAATTTTATCTTCAAAATTTCTGAAAATGTAAATATTTTGTATAATTTTTGGAAATTAATAAAATTAAATTAAAACATACTGGGTTTCTTCTGAGGTTCCCAGGGAAGTATTTAGGCAGAAAGGATTGTTCAAACATCTAATACCTGTGATTTTTAAAAAACTCTTGGTAAAGGATTATCAGAATTACTAGGTTGGGTGGTGGTATAGGCACTAGGTTTAATTTAGCCTTATACCCCAGGTGTGCACGTCCTCACTAGTTGAAAATGACCAACAGATGAAACAGTCCTGTGGAAATCGAAAAGTATAAAAGTGTGAAAGCAATGGAATACTATGTTACCTCGAAGAACAACAAGGAAGCTGCAAGCTATCGCATAACATGGATGAACCTTGAGGACATTATGTTGAGTGAAATTAGTCAGTCACAAAAAGAGAAATACTGCATAGGACCACTACTGTAAAAGACTAAGGGAAAGAACCCATACTAAAGGGGGGTTGTAAAAATAAACAAACAAAAAAAAAAAGTGTGTGAAAGAGAAAAAAAGACTGTTACTCTTAAAAAGTTACTCTTCTACACAAAATGACTGTGGCTTGGCCCATCATACTGCTACATTCCACTACCATCTCAGGCTAAGCTCCCAAACCTCTCTGCTATCAACTCATACATGGGACCTGCATCTTAGGGAGAGAAAGTTCTTTGCTCCCAGTACCTACCTGAGGGCCTGCCGCTCTGGATAATCGAGGTCGTAACTTTGCATAGAGTCATTGCAAGATTCTCGAGAACTGCCTTGAAGCAGCAGTTGCTGTGGCAATTGTACCGGCACAGGAAACTGGTGCACAGACGCATTGGGCTGGGATGTCGTGTGGTATGGAGGTGGGATGCTATTGCTGGTCTCACTGCGATAATCACTATCTCGGTCATCAACAGCACTATCCGGGTCTTCAAAGGCTGAGAAACAAGCACAGTCAATCACAACATCTCATTTTTATTTAGCTCTTTAGAATTTATCAGCTTCTACTTTAGATATGTATGGATCTTGAGAACAAGAGCAAGCTAAGCCCAGTGACCTCAAAGCCATGTGCAGAATTAATACCCACAAGTCTCTCTTTCTCGAATGAGATAGGTTTAATTTTAGTACTGATTCTTAGAGAAGCTCCCTGTTATAATTTTCCAATGCAGAAATTCTCTGAAATCCTACTGCTACAGCTATTAAAACTCTAAACCAAATACCTGCTTCAACACATCATAAATAGATTCTGGTACTCTGTGGGCAAAAGCAAAGAAATGCCTTTTCCATATCTCAGAAAAGAAAAAAAAATTGTTTAAAGTTGGTTTGGTGTTTTCAACTTCTAAAATACACGTTGTCATTCCTTCTGATAGTGTCACCCCTGAAGTGTGGTCCACAACCTTCTTTGCCTCTAGGGATACCACTAAACACTTAGCTTGCATGTTTCCCTTGGTATAACAATTCAGTATTCAGATCCTTATTTTCTCTCTCATATTGGACTCACTCTATACACACTATAAAGAGCTCTGGTAGCGAAGTCATTACGAATCGGCTGCAAACCGCAAAGTCAGCAGTTCGAAACTACCAGCTGTTCCATGAGAGAAAGATTAGGCTTTCTGCTCCTGTAAAGATTTGCAGCCTTGGAAACCCTGTACAGGGTCGCTATGACTCGGAACCAACTCCACGGCAAATAACACAACATACACTCTATACTAAATAAGTATATCCAACATCAAAAGCTGGTCTTGGAAATCATGGCTCAGAAATCAAACCAAAAGCTCAAAATGCTGAGAGCAGCAGTCTTTTTTGTTGTTATTAGTTTTTAATTTTCTATTTTGCATTGAGTGAAGGTTTGCAAAGTAGATCATCTATTTTACATCCAACAAATCATGCACTTTGTTTCATCCCAATGATTGCAATCCCCTCAATAAGCATCAATTATCCTATTTTCCTTCAGTATCATTGGCTCTTGATCATATGCTACCTCTTGAGACAGATGAACATCAACCATTTCCTTTTGGTACAGTGACTCTGTGTATTCCTTCCATCTTCTTTTGATGGATTTGTCCAGAGAATCCTTCAATAATAAAACTCAAGCCTTGAATTTTTAATTCAGTTCTCCCCGCTTGAGAAATGCTGAGCGTGTTCTTCCTTTTTGGTTTTCTGACTCAAGATATTTGCACATTTTGTTGTAATATTTGGCTTTATCTTCTCGAGCTGGTCTTTGATATTTTCTGTTCAGCTGCTATACCTGCTCATTTCTTTCATTTGCTTTAGCATCTCTATGCTGGAAAGCAAGTTTCAATGTCTCTTCTGACATCCATTTTGACCTTTTTCTTCTTTCTTATTTTCTTAATGACTTTTTCCTTTCTTCCTGTATGATGTTCTTGATGTCAACCCCCAGCTCATCTGGTCTTCAGTCTTTAGTGTTTAATGTTTCAAGAGGTAGCATATGGTAAAGAGCCAATGGTATTGAAGGAGGAAGTCCAAGGTGCATTGAAAGAAATGGCAAAGAACAAGGCACCAGGAATTGATGGGATAAAAATTGAAATTTTTCAAGAAAGTGAGGCGGCACACTCATCTATGTCAAGAAATTTGGAAGGCAACTATCTAGCCAACTGATTGGAAGAGATCCGTATTTGTGCCTATTCCAAAAGAGGTGACGTGACCCAACAGAGTGCAGAAATCATCAGACAATCTCTTTGATATCCCATGCGAATAAAGTTTTACTAAAGGTAATACAGAAATGGCTGCAAGCATACATTAACAGAGAACTTCCAGAGGTTTAAGCCAGAATCAGAAACAGGCCATAGAACAAGGGATATCATTGCTGATGCCTGATGGATCTTGGCTGAAAGCAGAGATTATCACAAAGATGTTTACCTGTGCTTTATTGACTACGCAAAGGCTTTCAATTGTGTGGATCATGACACGCTATGGACAACGTTGCAAAGTATGAGTATTCCGGAATACTTAAGTATGCTCATGAGGAATCTGTACCTGGACCAAGAGGCAGTTGTTCAAATAGAATACGAGAACATTGAATGGTTTAAAATTAAGAAACGTGTACGACATGGTTGTATTCTTTCACCATACTTATTCAATCTGTATCCTGAGCAAATAATCTGAGAAGCTGGGTTATATGAAGAAAAACATGACATGAGAATTGGAGGAAGACTCGTTATCAACCTGCAATATGCAGATGATACAACCTTGCTTGCTGAAGTAGACTTAAAATATTTACTGATGAAGATCAAAGAGCACAGCCTTTATTCAGTATGGATTGCATCTCAATGTAAAGAAAACAAAATCCTCACCACTGGACCAATAAACAACATTCTTATCAATAGAGAAAAGATTGAAGTTATCAAGGACTTCATTCTTCTAGGATCAACCATCAACACTCAAAGAAGCAGCAGTCAAGAAATCAAACAACAGATTCCATTAGGCAAATCTGCTGCACAAGACCTTTTTAAAGTGTTAAAGAGCAAAGACTTCAGCTTGAGAAATGAGATGTGCCTGACCCAAGCCATGGTATTTTCAATAACCTCACATGCATGCGAAAGCTGGACAATGAATAAGGAAGACCATAGAAGAATTGATGCTTTTGAGTTATTGTGTTGGAGGAGAATATTGAAAATACCATGGGCTTCCAAAAGAACCAATAGATCCATTTTGGAAGAAGTGCAGCCAGAGTACTCCTTGGAGGCCAGGATGGCCAAACATCATCTCTCATACTTCGGACATATTGTCAGTTGCTGGAGAAGTATATCATGTTTGGTAAGGTAGAGGGTCAGAGAAAAAGAGGAAGACCCCCAACGAGATGGACTGGCCAAGTGGCAGCATCAATGGACTCAAGCATGGGAACAATAGTGAGGTTGGCCCAGGATCAGACAGTGTTTCATTCTGCTGTGCATTAAGTTGCTATGAGTCGGTACCAACTCGATGGCACCTAACAACAACATCCTATTTTCTCTCCCTATGTTTCTTATTTCCATTCTTCCTTCTTTCCCAACTCTTCTGAATTTCACCAATAGGTGAATGTTGTCCTTTGATTCTCAAATGGTTGGAAATTCTATTGTGTGTATAACTCACTATCGTTGTTGTCCCCCTAAATATTGTTTGCCTGAAAACTGAGCCAAGAGGATGAGTTCAGATCCAAACCTGAAAGGTGACCAAAGGCCACAGTTTTGGAGTTCTGCCAGTTTTTATATGACCATTAAGCCTATTCTTTTTTTTATGATTTTTTAAATTTCACATGAAAACAGCAGTCTTGCTGATTTTATGCAACATCAGATTGCTCTAACAATACCTGTCAAGCACTTATACCCCTCCCTTCCTTTAGGAGATACAGGAAGGTATAAGTATTGCCAGTGGGCTATGCTGACAATTCAGTCAAGTTTATCTAATAGCAATGACTGCCATTCCATATGCTTGTTTCAGCCTTGCATGCCAGTATCTGACTGGTCATGGTTTATTTTTAATATCTTAAAAACCACAACTCCCAGAGTCAGTGACATAGCCACAGAGGACTAGAGTGGAGAGTGAAGCATCCAGCTGATAAGAGAGGGCATATGCATAAGAACACCCACACTTGCAGATAATACCCACTTGTCCTGGCTTCAATAACTGGATGATCAGAGCTCAACCAGAAGAAGAAAGTGGGGGGGGAGGAGTATTCTCATACAATTT